AACACAGCTTTTTATTAAAGACTTAGGGAATGTCACAAGTTTAGCTCAAATCTGCTCAGGTTTTTATGGCTTTAATTGTTAGGTTATGTAATATATTTAAGCCATTTCAATTATTATTCCTCATTCTTTTCAGTTTGAATTGCTCCAAGTTGTTTTAAAATTGATTCCCCCTCCCCACATCGTGTGATTATAAGGATATAAATATTTTAATAAATAAAATAATAAATGGAATACCTCTTCAAAAAGTATCATATGATACAGGGGATATAAATGTTTTAATAATAACATAATTAATTAGTACATCTTCAAAGAATATGATCCCAATCTTGAATGGCTAAATTAATTTTTATGCAAGTTTCAAAAAACAAACAGAAAGGATGCTGTCTAGAAATAAGAAAAATGCCTAAATCTAGATCTATATATTTATCAGGTCGATGTTTACAAGTCAGGGCAAGATGATTTGACTTCATCAGGCTGGTTCTTGAACAAAACAGGAAATCACAGCACCACAAGTAGCACAAAAAAGAGAAATGACTTTTCCTTCATTGGTGTTAAGCAATCCAGTGGCTGAAGGAGATAGACTGGAAGAAAAGGCACTTTTGTTAAGTTGTATTTAGGTGTGTATTTAAAATGTGTGTGTGTGTGTGTCACACACACATTTTGAATACACACCTAAATACAATTTAACAGAAGTGCTTTTTCTTCCACTCTATCTCCCTCAGCCACTGGTTTGCTTAACACCAATGAAGGAAAAGTCATTTCTCTTTTTTGCACCACTGTTCATGTATTTATGATTGCTATGTAGCCCCTAGTTTAGGGGATATATAGAGAAAGTGAAAGCCCCCCCTCCCAGGCCCACTAACTGGGGAGCAGCCATTGCGATCAATGGGGGGGGGTCTGTGATGGTCTCCCACACACCCCTCACTCAACTAATCTCCAGCACAAGGGGGAATTGTAACCAGAGCCCTGCGTGTCACATCAGAGATCCCTTATAGGAAAGGATGAGACAGTCATTTAGCTGCTTCCTGATTGACAGGGGAAGCAACTCCCATGGATTGCAGTGGCTGCTGCCTGGTAAATGGGGACTGGAGAGACTGGAACAGGAGTTACTGCATAGCACTGTAAATATTGTGTTTACATATACATAAGACAGCATTGTGTACTGGTCTGAGTGTTGGACTAGGACTCTGGAGACCAGGGCTGAGCCATGAAACCCCCAGGTTCCCTGCTCAGCCATGAAACCCACTGGGTGACCTTAGGCAAGTCGCATGTTCTCAGCCTCAGGGGAAGACAATGGCAAACCTCTTCTGAACAAATCTTGCCAAGAAAACCTCATAATAGGTTCATTTTAGGGTTGCCATAAATCAGAAATGACTTGAAGGCACACAACAAAAACAAAATTTAACAGCTGCTGGCTGTGGCATAATCTCTCCTTGTCTCTTCACGAGAATCTGCAAAGGATGGTACTGAGTCTTCACCATGTGCCACCTCCTACAGGAGACATAAAGGGGAAGCAGACGAGGGCATCCAGGATGCCCTGGGACGGTGTGCTGCGGGACCGCGGCATCCGCATCGAGGCGCACCGTCGGCGCCTCTGAATGGAGTGCTAAATCAGCGCTCCTTTCAGAATTCAGTGAAAGTGCGCCCTAAAAGCGTAGGGCGCACTTTCCCTGACTTTTCCGCCACAGCGTGTGCTGACGCTGCGGCGGAAGGTTGCCCTCGGAGCGCCAGCCGTGCGGAGGGCCGGCAGCTCCGAGGGCAACCTTGGGAGGAGGAAGGGGCGCCGATCGTGCGGCTGCCCCTCCTCTTCCTTGCCTTGGAGACGACTCTATTAGTCGTCTGCCGAGGCCCTAAGGCCTCAGCCCCCAGATCATTGAACTTGGAGAGACCACTATCATCAAGAGATGCACATTCCTGGATATCTGACTTCGTGTCCAAGGATGAGTTATGACATTACCATGAGTGATCTGTGAAAGGGAACAGAGATAGGGATCTTGCTTCTGACTATTGCGCCAGAGGTCACTGGTGGGAAAAGGTGGAACCAACAATCAGCTACATTCTGATTGATTTGAGGACTGTCACTCACTGTGGCTGCTGCTCTGTAAATCTGGGCTGGGGAGAGGAGTGGCAGGAGATGCTCTTTAGCTAGCTCCTCCAAACAAATTTTGCCAAAAAAAAAAAAAACCCAGGATAGGGTCGCCATAGCTTGGAAATGACTTGAAGATGCACAACAACAATCAACAACTTCCCAACAGGATCCCAGACAGTTTCCATGCATTGTTTACAATGTCTTAATTTGTTTTATACCTGCTTGCAACGTTTTATTGTTGATTCTGTCAGGTGGATGTAAAGAAAGGCCTATTTGTATCTAGTACAGGAAGTTGCCTTACACTATTCATTGCTCCATAGAACTTAATGCAATCTACAGCTCCTAGCAGCAGGAGTTTTTCAACCTTACCTGGAAACCCCAGGGACTGAACTTGGTAACTTCAGCATTCAGGGCAAGCGTTCTGCCACTGAGCTGTGGCCATCTCCTGCCTGTTTATTACAAGCGAATAGACTATTTACTGGCATAACTGACGGTTTATTCGTTCTGACAGAATGGTGTGTTTTTAGGTGGCAAGAACTTGGGTGTTGGAGTAGGACTTTGGAAGACCAGGGTTCAAATCCTTGTTTGGCCATGAAACCCCACTGGGTGACCTTGGCCAAGGCAAACAGTCTCAGGGGAGGTGAATGGCAAACCCTCTCTGAACAAAACTTTGCAAGATATGGCTGCCTGAGGTCACCATAAGTTGGAAGTGACTTCAAGACACTCAACAACAACTGCAAGCATAGGGGAGAATCACATTTTTATTACCTTGTTGTGTGCCTTCAAGTTGTTTCTGACATATGGCGACCCTAAGGCAAACCTATCATGGGGTTTTCTTGGCAAGATTTGTTCAGAAGAGGTTTGCCATTGCCTTCCTCTGAGGCTGAGAGCATGTGATTTGACTAAGGTCACCCAGTGAATTTCATGGCTGAGTGGAGAATTAAACCTTGGTCTCCTGAGTCTTAGTGCAACATTATGTCATGCTAGCTCTTTTTAAATATTTGCCCCCCCCATATAAAAAATTAGTACACTGAGGAGTAAGCAGAATACTGCATTGGCATCCATTACTAGAAAATTAGTACAAGGAACAGGCTATGAGAGACAGTCTCTGATAAATTAATCTGTTTGTCTTAAATATGCCATAAAATTGCTTTTCTCCTAGTGAATGTTTAATGGAGGAATATGTTGGAATATATTTGCATTCTCCTGTCCCTTCTTAGTTAGATAAGGACTTCTCCCTCCCTCTTTCTCATTCTAACTACCGTGTCTTGTGACTTTAGTGACTCACTCAGCTCTCTCTCTCTGAACATAAACTGTGTTAGTAGCTGTAGTCAGCAGTCAGTTGAAGTAACTGCCTCCTTTAAGTCTAAGATGGAGTAATCATAGCATCATAGAATTGAAGAGTTGGAAGAGACCACAAGGCCCATCCAGTCCAACCCCATTCTGCCATGCATAAGGACTAGAAGCTTGCTTTTAACAGGAGGACAGCTCTTAAGACCAATTTGATTTTTAGAGCAGATTTAGGATCTCATGGATATTATCAGATGCAGATTTTACATTCATCTGTGAACAGTATGACCACATGTAAATCACAAAGACTGTTCAACTTTATGGCATCACAGATTTGCTCATTGAAGTGTTGA